ACATAACATGCAGAAGAACCGCCGTAAATCATCTCAACATTATTTCCGGAAAGTTACAATCTCGCTGCGTTGTGAAATTTTGCTCCTAACTGCACCCTCTGTCTAAGCCGCTGCTGCCCTCACCATGGTCTCTATTTATCTGTGTCTCTTTCAGCCACTAGCACTCCCCTTTTTCTCCTTTCCTCTCTGTGTCTCTTTCTCCCTGTCTCTGTTTCTTGTCAGTCTGTCTTTCTTTCTCCACTCTCTCTGCCTGTTTGTCTCCGTCTATGTCTCTATTTGTATTTCTATCTCTGATCTTTCCTTCTCCTCTTTCCTTCCCTCCCTCTCTCCTTCTCTGCTTCTTCATTCCTTCTTCCCTCTCCTTTCCTCCCTCTCTCTTTCTCTTTTCCTCTCACTCTCCAACCCTCTCTCCCTCTTCCTCCCTCCTTCTCTCCTTCCCTTCCCCTATCTACCCTCTTCCTCTCCCTCTCTCCCTCCTTCTCCCCTTTCCTTCTCCCTCCCTCTCTCTTTCCTTCTCCCTCCTTCCCTCCTTCTCCCCTTTCCTTCTCCCTCCCTCCCTCCCCTATCTCTCTCTCCTACCCTCTTTCTTTCCCTCTCTCCTTCCTTTCTCCTTCCCTCTCTCTTTCCTTCTCCCTCCCTTCCGCGCCGAAATCCACCCAACAAACAATTTTATATCTCTTAATGCGAGCCTCATTATCAGGCAGATTGCGTATAATTATGAACATAAATTCCAACAGGCGAGGATTTCTTGCCCTGTTAATTCGTTTTTTTTTGTTGTTTTTTTTCATTTTTCTTTTTTTTCTTTAAAGGTGCGGATGTCTCATCTTGTCCATTGGGTTTTGTTATCAGTGTTATCTTTATTAATTTTCTTCTCTTTTTCTTTTTCCTTTTCTAATTGCAAAAAAATCAACACTAGCAATTGCAAAAAATGTCTACCTAACTAAACGGATCACACTAATTGCAAAAACAAATCAACACTAGAAACTGAAAAAAAACGGTATCGCCTATAACGAACATCGACTCTCTCTCTCTCTCTCTCTCTCTCTCGCTCTCTCTCTCTCTCTCTCTTTCTCTCTTACTCTCTCTCTCTTTCTCTCGCTCGCTCGCTCTCTCCCTCCCCCCTCTCTTCTCCCTCCTCCCCTCTCTCACTCCCTCACTCCCTCTCTCTCACCCCCTCCCCCCACTCTCTCTTCTCCCCCCTCCCCCCCTCTCTCTCCCGCTATCGCTCTCTCTCGCCTAAAAATCCTTCTCACGTGCGTCAGCTAGCGATATCGACTTCCGGCCAGGGGACATTTCCCGTATTGAAGGGTGAGAGCATCAACCGGAGGGAAGGAGGGAGGGGTGGAGGGTAAGGGGAGGGGAGGGAGGGTAAAGGGAGGGGTGGAGGGTAAGGGGAGGGGAGGGAGGGTAAAGGGAGGGGAGGGAAGCTCAAAGGGAGGGGAGGAAGGGTAAGGGGAGGGGAGGGAAGGAGGGAGGGGAGGAGGGTAAGGGAAGGGGAGGAGGGTAAAGGGAGGGGAGAGGAGGGTAAAAGGAGGGAAGGAGGGTAAGGGGAGGGAAGGAGGGAGGGAGAGGGAAGGAGGGTAAGGGGAGGGAAGGAGGGTAAAGGGAGAGAAGGGAAGGGGGGGGGGGCGGAGGGTAAGGGGAGGGAAGGAGGGAGGGAGAGGGAAGGAGGGTAAAGGGAGGTAGAGAGGGGGTGGAGGGGGAGGGAGAGGAGGGAGTGGATGGGTAAAGAGAGAGTATCAGCTGGAGGGAAGAAAGAAGGGAGGGTAATGGGAGGGGGAGAGGGAAGGGGGAGGGAGGGCAAAGGGTAGAAGAGAGGAGGTGGATTGAAAGAAGGAAAGAGAGAAGAGAGAAAAAGAGCAAGAAAAAAATAAAATAGAATAAAGTGAAAATAAAGAGAAACTTGAAATAAACGAGATAATAACGAAAACCGAATAACGAGACCATCTATTTTTTTTTCTTTCTTTTTCTTTTTCTCTCTCTTTCTTTTTCTAAGCATCACTCATCTTCATTCCATCCACACGTCCAACGCAGACATTTCCTCGTTTGCTTCAGGCGAGGAAAAAAAAGGAAAAAAAAAAATGCGATTGACTAGTTTTTTTGAAAGTTTTTTTTTCTTTTTCTTTCTTAATAATCATTCCGATCCTCTGACTCATTGTGTGTTTAGGCGACGTTATATATAGATAGATGTAGGTAGATGTATAGATAGATTGTTGTTTGTCTGTATGTCTGTTTGTTTGACTGTCTTTCTCACACACTCACTCACTCTTTCCTTCTTTCTTTCTTTCTCTCTCTCTCTTTCTCTCATTCACTCAGTCACTCTCTCACTTACTCACTCTTTCTCTCTCTCTTTCACTCACTCATTCACTCTTTCTCTCTCTCTCTCTCTCTCTCTCTCTCTCTCTCTCTCTCTCTCTCTCTCTCTCTCTCTCTCTCTCTTTCACTCTCTCTCTCTCTCTCTCTCTCTTTACAGCGGTTACTGACCTATTTTAGGTGTGAT